GTGTGTGTGCGCGTTTATGTGTGTGTGTGTGTGTGTGCGTTTATGTGTGTGTGTGTGTGCGTTTATGTGTATGTGGGTGCGTGTGTATGTGTGTGTGTGCGTTTGTGTGTGCGTGTGAGTGTGTGTGCGCGCGTGTGAGTGTGTGTGCGCGCGTGTGCGCGCGTGTGCGCGCATGTCTGGAAGGCAAACAGGTTTTTCTGACGTGGAAGGAAAATAAATAGAGCAGGTCAGCTCATTCTGAACTTTCTGTCATGAGAAAAAACATCAAATAACATAGACGGCATCTTCTAGCAAAAACCTTGCACAAATATGAAAAGAGGGAAATACGCTTTTAACTCCAATATGTCCCACCCCTCATCCCGTTTACTGCACCTGGATTTTCCAATCAGGTTGAGACAGATGTCTCTACAGCTGTCAATCGTTGTCTTTGTCGTAGTTTTCTTTTTTGTTGTTGTTGATGTTGTTGTTTATTTCCAAACATCTCTTTTTACGGATTTTCCAAAGTTTAAAGACACTGAGTTGGCTTTTTAATTCTAAAATTTTAATCATAAAAAAACAAACTTGTTTGGCAATCGAAAACAAAAACCGGTGTCAACATAATTTGTATAATAACGCAGTTCGAAACTGCAACGTGAAACATGATGATCTCGGTATCAACATATTAGCTATAGCCTACTATAAACATGTGATATTCACAGCACGCAGCATGTCATACTGCCATTCGATCTAGTTTCGACAATAACGCTGAGCCTTCAGTCATCATGCATGATTTAACAAGATTGTCAACTGAATGGGAGTTCATGTGAGATGGGAGAAGCTTACACCGCAGATTTTCAAACAAACATTACTTTTTAAAAAATGGGCTCTACATAAGATAAATTCTCGTTATTACCTTACGCTAGACGAAACTGTGTTGTGAACGCGTCCAATTTGTTAACAATCCTTGGCGAACAGCAGTGGGAGACAAAGGCCGCTGTGGTGCTCATTCCGCCTACAACACAAGTTGATTCCAGACGGTGCATTTAGCGCGAGGCGAGATATAAGCCCTGTAAAGATTTGGCAAGATCGCATAATTTAAACGATAGCGCGCCGACCAGGCAGGAATTTGGCTGGAACCTGAGTTTCTTCAGGAATCCGGGCCGATATAAGCGCAAACATTGCGTATTTTGTGTACGCAGCAGCTTTAAATTCGGAATTTCCGGATTAAATCTTCCCCTCTATCAACAAACACAGCAAATCCCGGGCTTTTGGTGAAAAAAAAGGAAGGACACATTTTTTGTGAGGTTCAACTTCAGAGGCGTGCAAACACAACCTCGACCAAACTAGCGGGCGAAGAAGGAAAGAATGGTGAATAATTCACATGACTTCAAGGACATTTATCTCTCAAATTCCTGTAATGGCTAGATCTAGACAAATCAGAAGGATGCAAAACAAATCTGATCTGCTTAAAACAAATAAATACTCGTACTCAGTAATGACACACGCCTGTGCTTTAGAGTAATAGAGTAAACGGTCTTCTATCCCCTCCCCTCCCCCACCCACTATGCTCTTATGCTCTTAAGTGTACACGCACTTTAAATGCTTCTCGCGCTTACCTGGATATACCAGTGA